TTCTTCTGAACCACAAGATGTAGGAAGTTGCCCTTTTTGCACTGGATCTTGCTGCAGGAGCCCTCAATCTCCTCGTAGAACTGACAGCTCCACTCGCGCCCGTCTGCAGAGGGGGACCAGCACCTCAGGCAGAGCTCCAAGCAGCTGTCACCTAACCCACAGACTCCTTTCACCTGCCCCAAGGATCAAGGAAGCACTCATCCAGAGCCAAGGAGGCTGCAGGCAGGCTGCCCCCACACCCCAGGAGATTTCAGGGCTCCAGCCAGCTTCCCTGGATTTGCTTTGTACATCTGGCTGGCCTCCTTCCCAGAGGGAAGGCCCTGGGCCTCCCTGCCTTCAGAGCACAGTCACTTCTCCAAAGGATACCCAGGGCTGACTCAGTCATCCCGGCGAGCAGGGGACAGAGAAGCACCAGCACAGCAGTGGGCACTTGTTCACTTGGTGCAAAGGCCAGTTCCTGCCCTCCCCAGCTCTACCCCCTTCTTTTACACTGCTCTCCTTCCAGCCCTGCCTGCTGGCTGAAGCTGTGCCAGCTGAGAGCAAGGCACTGCCTCTGAAGGAAAGGTTTCATGCCTGCCTGGATCAGCCCTACATCTAGCCCGGAGCTGTGCCAAGCCCCGCTGGAGAAACACCCACAGCACTCTCTGTTCCCCACCATACCTGGCAGCTTGACCACACAGTCCGTGTCAGTGAAAGAAGCATCCACATCCTCTACCTTCAGAGCTTCACCGCCCAAATTCAGCTTGACAATGATCTCATCAGCATTCTGCTTCCAGTCCAGAAGCAGCTCTAGGAAGAGGGAGGGAAATGTCACCCACTCGCTGGGGCATGAGCCTGCAGTGCCCACTGCTTGGCTGAGGAACATGAGCCTCAACACACACTTGATTCAAGGAGGTCATTGCAGGTGACACTCACAACCTGCTCCCATGGGACAGGCCACAAACAAGAGCACATGTTGTGACAGGGCAGGTGAATCCCAGTGGGAACTGGAGGCATCAGAAAGGCAGTGCTGCTGGTGGGCCCCATCACATGCAGCAGCGGTGGCAGGAAGAATGGGTGGCTCCTGCCAACTACAAAGCAATTACTGCTTTCCCAGGGAATGAGGAAGCCACAGAATGACTCTGGGGGATTCGAGTGGACTCTGACCACAGTCAGAAATTGCCACTTCCTTTTTGCATATGCAAACCAAGCAGCCTGGCTGCAGTCACCAAAGTGCTGTGCTCCTGCCGGGTGAGCGCTGCTGGCAGGGCTGAGACACGGGCAGGCCCACCAAGAACACCTCAACGGTGCAGCAACAGCCCTCTGCTGCAGGAAGAACCTCCACCAGGTGCCTGCCAGGCTCCAGGTCTGGCCCTGTGGCATCCTGAGGTCTTCAAGCCAAAAAGGTGATTGAAATCACTTTAATTTCAATCAGGTTTGTTCTACACTCTGTAGCACAAGGTGGTCCCACTCTGTCCTCAAAGCAGGCCTGGACCAAGGCAGAAACCAGCCAACAGATCCCAAGCCGTGGATGACATGGCTTGGGATCTTCCCAGCCCAGCATGGTCCCCTGCTCAGAACCAAGCAGGACAGATGCTGGTGGCAGTGTGTCCCAGGGCTGTGCTCAGTGGCACTGTGTCGCCTGAGCTGAACACAACCTCTCCAGCACCCAGGGCCTCGTCCCTGCAGACAGCCCTTCCCACTGTGTGCTGGAGAAGGTACCCCCTTCTTCACCCTGGGAAGGCCATATCCTGTTAAGATAAAGGCTGCAGCAAGGGAGCACTCAGGTTAGTTCTGCTCAATGCCAGAGCGTGGGACAAGGACAAGGCGAGAGCTTCGGATCCCTCTGCACAGGGCACTCCATGGCCATGCACCGACAGCTGGTGCACACCTCGACTTACCCTCCTCTGAGTCCTTCTCCTGGGCAGCCTCAGCCTGCTCGAGCTCAGAGCGAGACACTGGTGGGCAGAGAAGCAGAACGTGGGCAGGTCTGTCACTGGCACCTCAGAACACGGGCTGGTGTGGATGCCCAACACTTCACACATTACCTCCTTCTCCCCTGAGCCTCTGCCCAGGCCTTTCATCCTGCACGTGCTGCTCGCTTCCCTCCTCTGCTTCCTCACACCTCTCCATTCCCCACAGCCCTGCCTACAGCACCACAGCAAGTCATCCCCCAGGACAGCTGCTCTGGGCCACACCACCACATCCCAGCCTAACAGCACCACAGTAGGAGCAACACAACATCACTGCAGTGCACAGTGATGCTTTGAGGCACGTCTCAGTGCTTGTGGTAACCAGGCTGTGTGTCCCTACTGAGCCCCTCCAGCCTTAGAGGAGCCCTGCCTGGATCTGGCAGGGAGAACCTGACGTTTGGTTGTGCTCAAACCAACCCTGCTGTAATGAGAACACCACGTGGCCCAGCTGCACTTTAACATTTCCATTCCCGCACAAGCTGCCAGTGCCCACAGCCAAAACCTCCTTCCAGATCAGGCTGGGGAACCAAACCGACCTGACACCTAATCCCTGCTCCCCACAGGACTAACTCCAACAGCCAGAAGCATCTCAGAGCCTGCTCCACCCCCAAAAGTGTGGTGAGCTCTGCCAGGCAAGGGCCTCAAAGCAACAGCACCTCATCCTGGAGCAGACGAACAGCAGCAATGGGAGCTGTGGTCTCCACCCTGGAGCACTCAAGAGGGCTGTCACCACCTCCCTTTACCAGCTACAAACCAGTAGGAAACCTCTGCTGACCACCACAGTCACTGGTGCAAAGATGCTGGTGGGGCTGGTGGTGTGAGAAGTGCTGCAGTGGCACTGCCTGGAGGAATTACAGCTTGCTGCAGCCCCCTGCCACCCCTGCACAGAGAGGATGTAGAGAGATACAGTCACCTCCTGTGCAAGACAAGGTACTACTCTGCACCCTGGGATTTCACATCAGGGACTGCCACCGTTCCAGCACAGCCCTCATTTACCTTGGCCTATAAAACACCCTGTGATTTTGAGGTTACAACAATCCTAACGGAGCAGGCACAGAAATCCAGCCATTTTCCATAGCCTGCATCCTGCCCGCGGGAAAACCCTACACCTCAAGCGTCACTTTTGGCACCACATACACAGAGGGAATGACTCCACAGCAACAATTCCACTAGAGCCACACCTTGGCCTGACACAGAAGCTAAAGCACCAGCCCTACCCAGAGGCCCTGCATCTGGCCTCAGCAATCCCACGGGCTCCTGCACCTCCAGCTGCAGGAGCACCCACAGGCTTCAGTCCCACTCCCTCTGGATCAGGGCAGCTCAGCCCCAGCCAAAAGCAGTCTAGAAACAACCACTGAGGCCAGCTCCAGGCTTAAGCTAACAAAGCCACAGGCCCGACCTTCCTCACACAGCTGAGGCTAAGTAGTGCTTGAAGGAAGGAGGTTACAGGTCCAGAGAGGACAGTGTGCAGAAGAGGATCCCGCATCACTCGGGTTACCATAAGCTGCAGGAAGTGCTTAGTTAAATCTGCTTATCCAGCAGCAGATGGCTGCGGGGCTGAGAAACCCCGGGCCTGCTCCCCACAGCGCTGCCGAGGGGCTCTCACCTTCCTTGCTCTCCTGGTTGGCTCGATCCTTCTGCTTCTTTTTGTTGGTGGCATCATCCAAGCCCCGAGACACCCTCCTCTGGCTGGGGGCATTGGTGCTGCTGGACATCTTCAGCCGTTTGGAGGACACAAACGGCCCGCCGGGGTCGGTGATGGAGTCTGGGTCAGGGGTGCGACGTTTTCTTCCTGGCCCAGCTATCTTGGCGACTCTCTGTGGTCAAACTCTCTGGCAAGGAACTGGTGGCCTAAAGAGAGGAGAGAGCGAGCGTGGCAGGAGGAGCAAGCGGAGAAGATCCAACAGCATCAGGATCCACGCTCTGCCCCAGGCCAGTGCCCTCACACGACCTTCGCTGTGGCACTGCCAGGAAGCCCCAGGCAGCGCTGGGTGAGGAAACCTACCTCATCACAGCTGTTACAACACTTACTGCCAAAAACATGGGCCTGTCAGAGCTCCCGACATACAACCGGGGGTCTTCCATGCGTGGCACACATTAAACACCTGGAAAGCAATTATTGTCATGCTCGTGGCTCCCGTTACAGCAAACCCTGGCACAGAGGAACTGCCACTGGCGCTAACAACACCCGGAGGCAGAAGTGAGGACATGGGGCAGCCCCAGGGTGTGAAATGCAGCCCGTGGGGTCAGGCTGC